TTACTATAAGTTTTAGTAACTTACCGTAATTTTACAACCCTGGGTACTGTACATATGATTAGCCAAGATTTAATAGAAAAGTCGACTATACATATAAATTAATGCCAGCCAAAATTAAGCTTAACTCCGCAGTAATTTGGTAACTTACGATAATTTACCAGTAACTTACTATCAGTTTACATTTACAATGTAAATTAAACCATAATTCGGGCAGTCGGCCAAAATTTTTCATAATTCTGACTAGAATTTATATAATAATTCAGATTAATTACCTAATTATAGTCGGTTTTTTTTTTTTTTTTTAAAGGGCAATCCTTAAAATTCCGATCGAAATTCATCAGAGCTGGCTGGCATTAAACAATACTAACCGATTACGTATATAACAAAATTATTAGCCGGGCATTTTACTTACGTAGCGAATAAGTAATGGTTTGGTGAGATCACAATTCCAATGAAAACTAACCCAGAATTTTAGACGAGCTTCGAACCATTAGGACTTAAAAAAAAGTTCGGTTTAGATACTTTATCAATTTTTCGGTTTATCCAGGTCCGGTTTAGGAAACTTTAACCGTACAATCATGTTTATAACAGCAATAAAATAGATAAGGTAAACTCGAATAAGATAAAGCTGTATAATGATTGTGATACTCAATTTTGTTAGAAATTCCATTTGTTTTTTTGTTTTTTTTTTTTTGCCGAATAATAAAAATAATTATTATAAATAAGTTTATGCTAAGGGGAGTAATTATGCAGTGTAGATGGTTTGAATATAAGAATATACATCCTGAATTTCTCAAAACAAACATAATGCTCATCTTTAGTTAAATATCCTGCATCCCAATCTCTAAGTCATTTACAATAAAACTAAGAATAAATAAAATACTATTTGTAAGTAATAATAAAATACAAATACATGTAAAGTAAAAAGCACCAATGAAAGAAATTATTTAATCGAAAAGTAATAAACAACAATCAAAATTCTAAAACGAAAGTACTCTCATAAACCTGTCCAGTTCTTTTATTAACCGCAGTAGCCTTAACTTCCATAGTACCAAATGTTAAAGTAAACTCAACCAATCTATTTTTTCCTCGGTGTGGATCCGGCAAATCAATTTTCATTTTTCCTAACATTTTCATTCCATCTTCGTCACAATACTTTGCGTTATTATCAGGTGTAATAAAAATATTAAAAGTCATGTCTGTTTGATTCGGAACTACTGGTCCGGCCGTATAATAGAATTTTTGGTCGACGGCAACTTCAACACCTCTTAATGCCAACCGATGGAATCGGAATATACGGCCAGAGGGTGTACGACGTTCTGG